TATGAAGAGCGCTATCGTTATGATCGCTCGTGTATCCCGGACCAGAGTGGGCCGCAAAACGAGTAGGATTGTCGTAGCAGCAATAGAAAGTAACAAATTCCGGGCAATTGGATGATACATCATACGGTTATAGATGTAAAGAAAGATAGAGAGGAGTTCAAGGATGGTTGTACAGGTTGACGGCCACAACGCCCAACTGACATTCGGGCGTCTACTTGGTGGCGCATTCGGTATGTTAGGGTTCCTCACTCAATGGATGGGAAGATTGCTGTCCGTGTACATGTTCACGGATGATACTATACTTAAAGACCTCAATCGAGACTCAAACGAACTCCAAAGCATACAAAAGTTCTATCTCGGCGCAAGTGAACACATCAAGTCGATCTTCTTCCATGAGTTACTTCCCACTCCTCTGATGAAGGGGGTCGCTGAGTTGGTGAGTCTGCGAGATGGAGATATTCTTATAGGTCTAATTATTGGATAGATTGTCCCGCGTTCTTTGGCGATCATAGAAGGAGATCGTAACGCTGAGGTAATCGCGTTGTATGGAGATCATTGCCAGATAGTCAAATTCGAAGAAAGGGAAGAAAATGACTATCGTAAAGTCATTGGACATCTTTCAAAACTGGTGAAAGAGGCACCTGGCGAGGCAAAGAGGAATTGGGATAAAGAGAAGCGTCATAAAAGTGCGAAAGCCTGTAAATCTGCTACGTGACACTAATGAACAAACAAACACCAGGTATTGATAATGGAGAGGTTCGGCCACCTCCACATGGAATTTTCCCTAAACCTCGATTACCCGTCTCAAGGAACTACGTTCAGCGTCCCCACATCCAAGATTTCCTCACAGAAAAGCTTCTCCCATCTGATACCCCTAAAGTACAACCGCGATGTGTGCTCCATGGCCTTGGCGGCAGTGGGAAAACTCAGGTCGCGTCATTCTGGATTGAAGAAAATAAAAATCGGTGAGTCTATGTGGTTAGCTATTGGATATAATGTTGAGACTTCTTAGGTTTACCAATATCATCTTTATCGATGCAAGTAGCCAGAATCAAATCGAGGCAGATCTGGAAACCGCGATTAGGTCGCTTGGCCCAGTATGGAGCGAAGGTAGCTGGGAAGATGCAGTAGCATACCTATCTAGAGAAAAGGGATGGCTACTATTTTTCGACAATGCTGATGGATCCGACCTTCGTCTCGAAGACTACCTCCCCAACTCGACAAACGGAGCAGTCCTCGTAACAACGAGAAATAGAGACTGTGTGAGCTATGCTCCCGATAGTCACATGCGAGTCGGAGAAATGTCAGAGATCGAGGCCGTCGACCTTCTTCACTCGGTTGCAAACGTCCATCCATCATCAAACGACACGTCAATTGCAATTGTGAAGGAACTAGGAAAGCTAGCTCTTGCGATCACCCAAGCGGGCGCTTATATTTTCAAGACTCGCCAACTCGATAGGTACTTGGGTATCTTTCAAAAACATCGAGCGAAGCTTATGCGAGAAGCATCCCTTAAAGGGAGAAATTATGAAGGATCGACGTATACTGCGTTCGACCTATCATTCAGACTACTCCCTGAGAAGTCGCAAAAGTTCATGAAGATTTGCGCGTTTCTTCACCACTCTCATATCCCGCAAGCGCTCTTCGAACAATCCATCACTAATGGGTTTCGCTCCAACTTTGATGTTGAGGGTTATCCGCCTATGCCCAACACGGAGATCCTGATATCGAGCCTCGAAGATACGTTTGGATCGGAATGGGATGACGATGCATTCAAAGAGTTGGTCGAACCAATTTTCCAGAGCTCATTAATCAATGATGGTTTCACTGACCAGGAGGAACAAATCTTCTACAACGTTCATCCTCTTGTTCAAACCTATATCCAAGACGACCTTGCTATAGGCGAGAAAGATCACTATGCCATCTCAGCTGGCCAGTTACTCGTCGGTGGGGTACGATCCTCAGAGTACGACAACCGGTGGGATCGAGAGTTATTGCCACATATAAACAACTTGCCCACAAGTATCAAAGAGGTGCATATCTCTTATGCCGGGACATTTGCCAGGGCCTATAAATCAGCTGGGAGGTGGAATGACAGCCTTGCTCTTTGGAAATACTGTGATATTGAGTGTACGAAAGAGTTTGGACAGCGGAATACTACAAGAATGTCAATCAGATCCAGACTCGCAATAGCGCTAGGAGAATGCGGGGAGTGGAGAGAAGTCGAGAATATTCAGCGGGAGGTTCTGGAGGTTAGGAGAGAGATCCTTGGACTGCGACACCCCGATACAATCACAGCAATGAATAACCTTGCGTACACTCTCGGTCACCATCGTCAGCTAGAAGAAGACGAGAAGATTCAGCGGGAGGTTCTGGAGGCTAGGAGAGAGATCCTTGGACTACGACATCCCGATACGATCACGGCAATGAATAACCTTGCAATCACTCTCGGTCACCGTGGGCAGCTAGGAGAAGCCGAGAAGATTCAGCGGGAGGTCCTGGAGGTTAGCAGAGAGATCCTTGGACTGCGACATCCCGATACAATCACAGCAATGAATAACCTTGCACACACTCTTATTCACCGGGGTCAACTAGAAGAAGCCGAAAAGATTCAGCGGGAGGTCCTGGAGGTTAGGGAAGAGATCCTTGGACTGCAACATCCCGATACAATCACGGCAATGAGTAACCTTGCATCCACTCTCGGTCACCGTGGTCAACTAGAAGAAGCCGAAAAGATTCAGCGGGAGGTCCTGGAGGTTAGGAGAGAGATCCTTGGACTGCGACACCCCGATACGATCAGGGCAATGAACAACCTTGCATCCACTCTCGGTGACCGTGGTCAACTGGAAGAAGCCGAGAAGATGAAGCGGGAGGTTCTGGAGGTTAGGAGAGAGATCCTTGGACTGCGACACCCCGATACAATCACGGCAATGAGTAACCTTGCATCCACTCTCGGTGACTGTGGTCAGCTAGAAGAAGCCGAGAAGATTCAGCGGGAGGTTCTGGAGGTTAGGAAAGAGATCCTTGGACTGCAACACCCCGATACAATCACGGTAATGAGTAACCTTGCATCCACTCTCGGTCACTGTGGTCAACTAGAAGAAGCCGAGAAGATGAAGCGGGAGGTTCTGGAGGTTAGGAGAGAGATCCTTGGACTGCGACATCCCGATACAATCACGGCAATGAATAACCTTGCGTATACTCTCGGTGACCTTGGTCAACTAGAAGAAGCCGAGAAGATTCAGCGGGAGGTTCTGGAGGCTATGAGAGAGATCCTTGGACTGCGACATCCCGATACGATCATGGCAATGAATAACCTTGCCTGGATACTCCAGGAGTGTGGTAAACTGGAGGAGGCTGAGAAGCTTGAAAAAGATGCCATGGTTCTTGGAAGGAACTCCGGGGCATGAACTCATTAGATAGTCTCCATGATCACCCCCTGTGGAAAAGAAGGGGTGTGTGACTGATGTACAAGTACTTACTCAATCATAAATTCTAGGCATATTTGCTTTCCCATTAACTATGTAATTCCTGTCTATGACTTGTATTACTTATTCCTGACCTCTGGGTCAGGTCTTGTTTGCCAAAAATCGGTGCCTGTTAAGGCACTTTCCTTTGACAACTGAATCAAATTCTGAAAGATTGGGCCAAGGGTGAACCGCCCTCTCATCTTGACCAAACCTTAGTCGTCACATCAAAAGCTCACTATGACTATTCTCTCCTGTATATTACTTTCTTAAATTCCAACTTGTTCTTTAATGAGTTAAGACTGTTCTAGGCTGAGAGCTTCTAATCTACAAAGCTGCCTCTCATCGCACAAATTAGCTTATTTGCGTTCCCTAGGCCGGGTTTACACCTTTTTCTGACTCTCTCATAGAAGTAGATCATCTATTTCACCTGTAATAGATAGGAAAGCTTACATTTTTGAGCTCTTTCTATCGTAAGTGTTGGGCCGCTTCTCAGAGTCGACACGACAACTCATATGGCGTCGATTATTGGGGTAACGAAGAGGTCAGGATCGCCTGGAAGGCCCTTAGAATTTCTTATTGAGGAAAATAAGCCTTCGGAAGATTACATAATCTTCCCAAGTACTCCCTAGCACATACCTTGCTTACACCACGGGCATCCATGACTCTCGCCAAGTGAAAACCGGTTTGAAACCGGTTAGGCATGTCCAGTTTTTTGTGGCCTAAATAATTCAATTTTCATTTCATATAACTAATAAGTAAAGAGACATTAATTACACCAAAGTACTGGTTGATATATTGGTGATTTTCAATCGGAGATGGCGCCTCTTTTTCCGGTCGTAAACCGTCAACTTTCAACGACTATTTAGCTCTGAATACCGACTGTTTCTCGATCCCATAATAACAGAGTCATCACCATGGTAGCATAGTCCGTATCGACGCAACGGTGCAGAGTTACACTCACTTTTTAGAGCCTAATTGTAGACAGTTTAGACAAACTCTTTACCTTCATGAAGTTCATCACTCTCAATACTGTTTTCGTTTGTAATGAATCGTTATTTTATGTTCAATATTCATCCCAAAAAATTAGTTTGAAGGTTGGTAAGATCTCATACCAAAAAAGCGAAGCGAAACCCGATCAAAAAACCGGACATGCCTATCCAGTTTCAAACAGGTTTTCACTTGACGAGAGTCATGGATGCCCGTGGTGTTAGTTATCATCCACATGGTCATCATGTAAACTTCGCCTTGTTATCCAGCGAATGCAAAGCCTAAACCGCCACTTAGACCTCTGCATTTCCACGCTCATATGTCGTCTACGATGATAGAATGCACCATTAAAGAAGCTACGACTCAGATACTCGAGTCTCCTCTCAAAACATGCGCGGTTACTTTCACATTGGCCTCGCTCGGTTATCTGACCATAAAAAGCGCACAAAACATGATTTCCCGGAAAAGGGAAACCCATCCATATCCTCCTGGGCCACCTAGGTACCCCTTGATTGGAGCTATGGCGAGTTTCCCAAAAGAGCATTTTTACCAACGCTTTACTGAGTGGGCACAGCTCTATGGTGCGTCAATTATGTATAAATTTGTCATTCAGGGATATAAAAAAACCTTTCTTTAAGGTGATATCGTATATGCGCCTCTTCCAGGAATGAACATGGTCATTCTCAACTCGTACGATGCTGCTCAGGAACTGCTTTCCAAGAGACCAGGCTCAACCTCTGGCCGTCGTATCGGATATTTGGTGACACATTTGTGAATAGATATTGATTTCTACGTCCAGTTTCACTAACAACCGATCTAGAATGGACTTCAAATGGAACGTTGCTTTCATTCAGCCCGGTACCAACCACTCTACCCAGCGCAAAATGCTTCGTCGAGGGGTTGGACCCCAAAGAGTCGCAAGCTATGATCCCGCCATCGAGTCAGAGACCGTTCGACTCATGGAGGAGCTAGAAACCTTCCAAGGCAATCCAACCGTGACTGTTGAACAGTAAGTCGATTCATCTTGCTACTCCCCATTCCTAACGTCATCATTAGCGCCCTTGGTCGCCTTGTTTCTAAACTCACGTATGGGGAGAAGATTATGGAGGAAATGGGAGACGACTTGTCCCATTGGAATGCGGAGACGATGCAATTGATGAATCAAGCATTCGCTGGGTTCTGGCCTGTAGACGTATTTCACTTTTGTGCGTATTACTAGTTTCTCTCCTTCAAATTGTCGACTGATATGATCACTGGGGCAGTGCGCTTTATCCCAGACTGGGTCCCCGGTCTACGTTTCAAGTCCGTTCTATTTTTATAATGCATCAGTAACCGAGACTGAGTGTTCTTTTACAGAGAGGTTGGGCGGTTAGGTCGCGACCTTTCCCAAAAAGTCAGATTCCGGGCTTATGAAAGAGGATTAAAGCTATACGTACGTTAATTCGTTCACCTTCAGTATATTAATCATCTCATTTCAATAGAAAAATGGTACACTGGGTCACTGCATCCTCAATGACCTGTTAGAGGAATTCGGTGAGAGTGAGTATGTACAGGACGCGACAGCAGTGTTATATAGCGGTAAGTACAAGCGTCTAACTGCTTTATAAAAGCTGACTCTCATCTTGACAGCCGCCGCTGATACTGTAAGATTCGGTCAATTCAATGAGCATCATCCATTACTCAATTTTATGGTAGACAACTGGAGCCATTGTTACATTCTTCCATGTCCTCTGGTTGTACCCCGAAGTTTCTCAGCACGTATTTGAGGAGATTCAGTCGGTCACACATGGCCTACGACTACCAAAGGTTTCCGATCGTCCCAACCTCCCCTATACTGAAGCCGTGTTCAAAGAGTCGATTCGCATACGGCCATTCGCACCTCTAGGTTAATATTCACTCCAAATGCTATTGGACCTCTGCTCATTCCTGACCCTCTTTAGGTGTCCCGCATGTCAATGACCAGGACGAGATCATTCGTGGGTACCTGATCCCCAAGGGAACTATGATCAACCAATGCATAGGGCAAGTTCTATCAGTCAAGTGTCAAGAAATTCTTATCGATAAATTCTAACTAGAGCCATGCTTGCTGATCCCAAGGTGTGGGAGGATCCGGAGGTGTTTAGGCCAGAAAGATTTTTAGAGCCAAATGCGTCGCAACTACCCAACCCCCTTGTGGTTCTCTTTGGCTTTGGAACGAGGTACGTCTGGTCGAGCTGTTTCGAAGAGAAGACCCGTTGAACGACGCATCGCTGTGATTCTAGAATGTGCCCTGGAATGTATTTGGCAGATAAAATTGTGCTCCATCTAGTCGCCACTACCATGTCCCTATTTGATATCATTCCGTTGGAAGGCAAACAACTACCTGACCCGAAACAGGTCGAATGGTCCGCTACGGCAATGCAGTACGGAGTCTCATTTCCAATTATATTGATTCTTCTTCAATTTCTGACTATTTTTGCGATTGTAGGCTTCCGCTAGGGTTTGAATGCCGGTTTGTGGTGCGGGACAAGAAGGCACGCGACCTGCTCAACACGCTCTCGCTCCACGACTGATTACTGGTCTACATGGGACCGGCATTAGGACAACAAAGACGGCGAAGAAATTGGTTATACTATAAATAGGATCTCCTTACCGTTAAGCTGTCTTTGCCCTTCTCCTCCGTAATATCTTTCGTAACCAGTGTTGTCACATTTATCTGCTTCTTTTAGGATTCAATTAAGCAAATATATACTCTATTGTCTTTGCCGTGCATCTAGATTCCCGGTGCCAGTCTGTCAGCGACCGGTCGAGTGGCGTTCGCGCCGTATGACGCAAACCGGCGCTCAACCACCCAGCCATCTGATAACGCCCACAGTCGATCATTGGCCAACTGTAACCATACACAGATAACTCTAGCCTCGTGCCAATGGGGAGGAGAACGCAGGTGGGCCTCCGGATATTGGGAGGCTGTCTTAGCTCCAGATAACCCCACTGCGGCTCATTATATAATAGTGTCCACTCGTGTGAACAACCCCGACATCACACAATAATCCGAAAATGCACCCGCAGCGTCCAAGTCGCACCCTTGTTCTTGCTTTTGACGGCACGTCGAATGAATTCGACGATACGGTAAGCACCTTCATGCCCAGGCCCCGAGCAGGAACGCTAATGAGTGGCTAGAATACAAATATAGTAACGCTTTGCGCCCTTCTTGTAAGCCAGCGATTGAACATATCTGACGGAGAATATGCTCATTCGCCCTATCATAATCTAGGAGGTCCACAATCGAGATAGGCAAATGGTCTATTCATATCAACCCGGAATCGGAACCTATGCTCCCCCTGGTGTCGCTGGGACGATCAAGCAAGCACTCGTCAAGACCGCCGACCTTCTCGTAGCTTGGTGCCTCAATCAGCACGTGATGGATGGCTACTCGTTTTTGATGAATAACCACATGCCAGGAGACAAGATTTGCATCTTTGGTTTCTCGTACGTATGATGCGAGTGTTGTATTCTAAGGAGGTGCTAATGGTGGTGACTAGGAGAGGTCCTTATACCGCTCGAGCGTTGGCTGGAATGGTCCACTGGGTCGGACTACTTCCACAAGGCAATCACGAGCAGGTACGTTATCTGGCTCAGTTTCACTAATAGCCAGTAGGATGACAAATTCTAGGTTCCATTCGCCTATCGGCTGTACTCTACAGGGAGCCACCGAGGGCTCAAGTTTAAAGAGACATTTTGTAAAACTGTACAGATAGAGATGCTCGGCGTATGGTACGTTCACTCTCACTCGAGTCTAAAACGTCATGGAGCTTATCTCTTTCCTGTTCTAGGGACACAGTCGCCAGTGTTGGCCTTCTCCTCCCAAAGACCCTGCCATTCGTGTCCAATGACACTGTCAAAACATTTCGCCACGCCGTGTCACTTGACGAGCATCGTAAACGCTTTGATGTCACCCTGTGGAACCCCAATGAAGAAGTCACCGGGGGCCTGAGCATCCTGCAGGATGCCTCGGTGAAGGAAGTCTGGTTCGCTGGTTGTCATTGCGGTAAGTTTAGACCACATTCATTCCCTGCACCCAACTCTAACGATGAATTGATTCATAGATGTTGGTGGAGGGCACGTCAAAGATGGTACTTCACCCAATCTGGCAAATATCTCTTTGAGATGGATGCTAAGTGAGATAAAAAATCATTCGAGCATCTTGTTCAGTGATGAACGTCTGGACAAATACGGGATACCCAAGGACTGCGTACCCCGCGCTCCATACCAAAAGAATGTACACACCGTCTCCAGGTTGGGAAATGACGAGATCAAATCAACACGAATAGGTTCGATAGAGGTCGCCCCTCCCGGAGCGAACATTCCAAAGTGGGAAGAAGCCGACGAGATAGACTGTGCGGCCGAAGTCCACGACATGCTTCGACTAAATCCACTATGGTGGGGCGTTCAATTTATGATTTGGCGGGGAAAATCGTAAGAATCTATTCTCAGTAAACTTGAGACTGTTTGGCTGATTGATGATGATATTTCATTAGCGTTGATGGTTTGGGGAGACGAGTCTTTCCCAGAGACCGGAGGAGTCTGCGGCATAGCCATGTACACTACAGCGTAAAGAGGCGAATCGAAAAGCTGTCTGGTTATCAACCGATGACATGTGGTTTGCCTCCAGATTGGGTCGACGATTGCCACCCGAATCAGCCTAATAGCCCTTGATTTCTTGATTCACCGACCGAATGTATCACTTGAGAATCAAAATATTATTTATTACATCCCTGTTGTTGTTGCGAGTGTTCGAGTGCGAGCTCTAAATCCGGCGGACCTCCAAACTTCGTCCCAACCAGGACTAGCAGATATACTGTGGGTCGCTGAATGTCCGGCCTACACCATCCGCAAACACACCATGCAACAAATTCTTCCGAATATTGGTCCAATCAGCCTCGAGGGTCAAATTTTGCATTACAGTACTGAATTTATCGACTCCAGCTTTCCAGGTTCTTGGAATATTCCCTACGCGAATAGGCCTATATATATAATGGCTGTAGGTATGCTACCCATAATGTGCGCGAGACGGGAGTCAATGGTAGACGAAACTTTACCAAGGGATCGAATGATGGGTGCCAGTTGGCCCTGACCGCCCTCCTCTGCTTCTAGCCAACAACCTGTTTTGGTCTCTCCCACGACCGAACATAACAAAGTAAGGAGTAAAATGGACTTGAAAGACATGGCACCGGGCGACTTGGTGGCCAAGATATTCGATTCGCCATTCGAATCGCTCATAATTTCATTCTCGGTCGCTTCGCTTGGTTATCTCGCCATGAAGGGCGAAGACAGCTTAACGGTAAGGAGATCCTATT